ACCAGACACTTCTGGCAACATTCCAGGACTCCCGAGCCCCCCAAGGGTGGTCTCGGTGACTCGGCACCTCAGTCCTGGGGTGCTGAGATCCCACACCTAATGAAAATTACTTTTAAGAAGATGAACAAGCCACTCCAAACTTCTTTTAAAAACTGTACCCACCAACATCTGATATAGCATCAATCCCACTGGAACTACACTATAGGATCTCCCTAAATGATGATTCCTCATTTGGAAATTACTTTCAGATACTAGCTTGTTCTTAATAATTTTTATAATCTAATACTTTCTTGTCCAAAATAATATAGAATATCAATTATTTATGTGGAACTACATTTATGAACTACATCTGTAATCTCATCAGCAATGAAATTACTTTTGGCTGGTTGAACCTAAAAACCAACAATGTTGATGGTAATTTTTGGAGATTAACTTAATCAGTTGCTACTTATTTGAATCTTTTGTGTTTGGCATGTTTACTTACTGCTCATAACTTATTACTCATAATTTTTTTGTTCTCAATTTCCCTGGTGTGTACACTCTACCTTCTCTGTTCCTGGCTGTCAGTTTGTCCAGTACTATATATTTTTTCTTGGGTTTAGGTTCTGTAAAAGAAAATCCTCTCATCTTATGACTTTGTCGAGTGCTTCTAGTTTATTTTTTAGCTACTGGAAGTAAAGCAATATTGATACTACAAGTGACACTGATAGGTGCTCTCATACTACCTTGAGTGGGAGAAGAGATGTGCTTTTCAGTAGAATTGCTTGCTGTTCTCCCAAATATTCCATGTAAGCAAGGTGGAAGAGCAAATCAGCATCCCAGCCTTCAGAAGCAGTGGCAGTGGCTTGAGATGTTAGTATCTACTGCCATCAACACTATTTTGTTCTGATTGTGGAATGCTAAGTGGTTGGAATGGATCTTGAAGATGATCTAGTCCCAAGCCCTCCTGCTGTAGGCAGGGACACCTTTCACTAGACCAGACTGCTCAAGGCTTTTTCCTGCCTGGCCTTGAATGCTTCCAGGGCTGGGGCATCCACAGCCTCCCTAGGTAACCTGTTCCAGTGTCTCCAGGATTACCTCTTTATTGTGACTACCATAGTTTAGGCCACCCAGCTGAAGTTCCTTCTTGCATTTTGTACCCATTTTTCCTAGTTCTGCCACTAGAGTTCCTGACAATAAGTCCCTTTCTGGCTTCCCTACAGGCCCCCTTCAGGTACTGGAAGTTTGCTATGAGGTCTCCATGCAATCTTCTCTTCTCCAGGTGACCAGCCCCAACTTTTCTAGCCCATCTTCATGGGAGGGGTTCTCCAGTTGCCTAATCATCTTTGTGGCCCTTGTCTGGACTTGTGCTAGGTCCCTGTCCTTTGTTGGGAGCTGAATGTAGTGTCTCAGGTGGGATTTCCCAAGAGCAGAGGGGCAGAATCGCCTCCTGTGACCTGCTGGCCATGCTCCTTTTGGTGTAGTCCAGGATTCTGTGTGGCTCTCTGGGCTCCAAGTACCCACAGCTGGCTCATGTTGACTTTTTCATCAGCCATCACCCCCAAGTCTTTCTCCCCAAGCCTGCTTGCAATCACATCTCTGTCCAAACTTTAGGTGAGAAACTGGATTATTCCATTCTTGGCGCTGGACCTTTTTTTGTCCTGGTGTCTGGCTGTGCCAATACCTTTTGACCTATTGTGATACCAAGGTTGTCTGAAGAGCTCTTGAGTATGCTCTGAAATAGTTGAAGACAGTAAATGCTTCTATGATTTTCTGTGTTGTACATTTTCAATGCCAAACCTCTTGTGGCATGCTTCTGGCTGTAGCACAGTGCCACCAAGCGTGTGACACTTGGTGCCTATTGCTGGTCTTGGGTCTTGTTCTGTGTATTGCTATCCAAGCTGTTGCTGCTTTCTACAGGAACCTGAATTTTAACAAGCTCTTTGGAAGTGAATGTAATACAGTACAGCCTAATTTCTCTGGCTCAGACTTTGCCTGCACGTGGGTTAGTCTGTGCCCATCCTATTGTTTTTGATGATCAGAGCTGAGTTCAGTAAACCCATGTGACTGTAGTTACATGCCTAAGTTACATGAACAACTTCTTTCATTCAAAATTTCATAGAATTCTACTGAAAATGTTCTTTACCTTTCCATGTGGTATTTTTCTGTACTTTTATTTTGAGCCATGGTCATAATTTTTTTGCTCTTCCCACTTCTCTAAGTGGTATCTTTGGGTACCTGTTGAGTCAAGGGGGAACTTAGGAAAGAATTCTTTTATCTCTTGATTACAGATGTTGCTGGTAAAAGTGTTAAGCTCCTTTTTTTTTTTTTTTTGTTGTCAGTTGAAACATAATGTATTACATAGTGGTGTAGATTTAGGCCTTTTGTGTCTTGACTGGTATTTGCAGAGGCTGTAGTTGCTCTCAGATATTTAGATGTTGGTGTGCTGTGTGTAAGCATGAACCTTCTCAGCAATCTGTGGCTGAATGTAACCCTAGGATTAAAATTTGCCAGAAGTAAATGAGCCATCAAGTGTGGAAGAGCTTAAGGATTGAGTCCTTTGAGTTTTGGGAAGGTTCAGTGTAATGTCTTTCAATAATTAGAGTTTAAGATTCTTTGACTCCTTGTAGTTCACTGATTGCTGTAAGGAAAAGGAAAATCTTTAGCCTATAGGTGGGTTACTTTTTCAAGTTATTTAAAGGCTTCATCCAGTACATGGATCTTCATCCTTCTCAGTCCCTTCACCTTGTATAACTGTGAATGTGCTGTCTTTACAGGCTTCAGGATCCAGAGGAGGCACGGGACCAATTTCATCTGGCCAGACTGAACTGCAAGAAATTTGCTTTTGTGCATGTGGCTTTTGCACAGTTTGAGCTATCACAAGGTGTGTAAAAAAAAACAAAACAAAAACAACTAAACTTGTTTGGTGTTGCTGTTCTGTGTTGTTCTCCATTTTGTTGTTTTAAACTTCTGCTTCCTTACATAATTTGTAAGTAAACTGATAGGGATTGAATCAGAAAGAAACAAATTGGGATTTTTAAAATTGAAATTTTACTGAGAACGTGAGTTCACTTTTAAAGTGAAAATATGCACACCATTCATTGTTTTTTTCTGTTTTAGAAATTACTTTCAGACTAGGTGGAATTTGTTAGTAGTTTCTACTTTTCTAATTTAGATCTTGCAGTGGAAGGCTTTTGAGTAAGGCTCCTCCTGCATGGAATGAGGCTCAAATACTTTGCTTGCTTGTGGAAGAAATTCTGTCCTCTTCCAAAAAGCATTTGTAGATTGTTTTTTATTAAACCAAAATACACTGCCAGTGTGCAATTTGGTTGCCCTGGTACTTGCTGGCAAGGCTGTGTTGGCTGCCCACAGGCTTGTGGGCTTGTGTTTTTGAATATTTTGTATCTTTTGTTTCCATGGGTGATTTGAGCAGTGACATATTTTGCCCTGGGTATTTATTCCTTTGACAGTTTTCTCTGTATAGAAAGACAAGCACATTCCATGAAAACTGTTTTCTTATTTGAATGGAAAAAATTTGATGGCTATATTAATTTTTTTGTGACTTGTTTTCCTTCATGTTTTTTCAGTGTCATGCAAGTTATTGTATATTGTTGTATGTTGTATATATTTCTCATACTGCTTAGTATGAGAAATTCTCCCCGAACTTAGCTACACTAAATAAATTAATCTGTCTATTCAACATTCTAGATTCTGAATACCTTTTACTGGTTATCGGTCTGTCTTTACTTCTGTTTATTTTCCACTGATAGTGGTTTTGTCTATACATTTTTGCTTCAGTGATACTTGTTAACTGTATTTTAGGATATTGTTTAGATGCTCAAAGTGTGGCCCATGAGGCAGAGCCATTTTGTTAAAACCAAAGTAGATACTCATTTGTCATCTCAGTTTTTCCAGTTTTTCTTTTCTGATGAATTGATTGGCTTTAGAGCAGGAAAGGCCATGAACCAACTCCCCCCTCCCAGAAGTACATGTTATGTTTTGTGAATGACTCCTGTACAGGATGGGGAAAAAAAAAGACAAAAATTTGCATGTTTGTCTTGAAATTACACAGTTTCTGTGTTATGCCTGAGGCAGTTATCTGACCAGTCTTGTTCTAATATAAACCTGTGGTATTGAACTTCTAAACAGTAGTAAAAAGATGATGATAATTTTAGTGAGCACTGGATGTTTATTTAAACAGATAATTAAACACTAATACTGCAATAACAAAGATATTGTTAAATAAGTGTAATAAAACCTATTGTGTAATTTAATAAAGTGTAGAAATGCTGCTACAGGTTACCAGTGACTAAATTCATCCTGTAGTTATGGGATGTGTCCATGCAGTACTTTACCTTACTTTGACAGTAAGTAATCAACCTAGAATGAAGTGCTAATCCCAAAGGAAATAAGCCAGTTATGATCGGCTTTGTTTTATCTGCAGTGTGCTCTCTGATTTGTATCTGTTACCCTTGAGCTGCTCTAGGTGTCCTTTAGTAATGTGTATGGAGGTACAGTGTCCCTGCTGGCTGCTTCAAAGAGGATTAGTGGGACATGTGAGCTGTAAATTGTTACTTAAGAGTGCTGTTCCTTTTTCACTGTGTCCACTTAGGCCAGAGGGAAAGGAGGGTAGTGCTTTGTGGCTTCTTCATCCCAGTGATTTCAGCAGTGCTTGGCATACCTGGCTCACCTGTCAGTGCTTTCTTTTGCATTAAGGAGAAAAACTTAATTGCACGTTCTCTTCCTTAGCTCACAGTTTTGCTCAAGATAAAAGCTCAAGTTGTGAAATTAGATTTGGTAAATTAATGTTGATTTATTAATAATTGAATATTAATGACCTGGAAATGGGGTGACACAGTAAAGGTGCCATTCTGTTTTTTGTGGCCTCTTTTTTTACTAAAATACTGAGTAAAATTTCATTTAAGTCCCCCAGATGAAGAGTTGTCTTGTCATTACTTGGGTACCTTGGGTGGTGTGTTTGAGGATGATTTGCTGCAAATTGGTCAGAACTCATGACCATAAAACTCTACACTTGACTGTTTCAAGTCTTATGCCAGGGTGCTTGATTCAGGCTTTTGGCATCTGATGAAGTGGACTGGTTGGAATTCAGAAATATTTCTGGCTTGATTTTGTGCCTTGGTTCCTCATCTGTTAAGGGGGATGAAACAGTTTTTCACATACATGTTTTGATGTCATGCTCTTTCTTACTCAGGGTACTAGGAGAAATTACTTCCAAGTAGCAGGTCTTGTTGAAGCAATGTGGTTACTAAATATAGCAAAAGGTCGAATCAGAATGCTGGTTAAGGATTCTTAGAGCCTGTCCACTTTGCTAATGATTTAGGAGAAAAAACAGTATCGGACTATATGGTTAAAAACCAAATTGTAACAAATTAGCACAAAATTTATTTAAAGGAAATTATAGCTCATATAATTTTAGTGCTTCCTTGCTTCATGTTTGGCATTATCCATTTAATAATCTTAAAATAGATTACTTAAAGCATAAGTTCCTGGTACCTACACTGCACTTCCACCATCCTGAACTACAGGCAACAGTGATGTCTAACTTCATTTATGAGTGGAGTTTTGAGTGCAGGGGACATGTGTATGCTATTATGCATATACTTGAGTATTTCTTATAATACATATGTAGCATAAAGTTAAGAACCAAGTGGTTTATTTTGCTGCTTTGGAATGGAGGAGGAAGGGCATTTGGGGTTTCAGGGGCATTGACAGCTGTAGCAAACCATTGCATCATTTTGCCCAGATGTTCTTCAAACCAAGTGAAGTATTGTGGTTACAGTACACTTTTTTCCTTATTTGACTTTTTCTAATAGATGCCTATGTACATGTTTACGTATGTAAATTCACTGCTTCCATATGGTTTGTTAACACATTCCCTTTCCCACCCCAGCTCTCTTCAAAGTTCTCTGTTTATGCCATTTAATAATGTCTAAAACTGTAATGAAAAAATGTTCTTGCTTTTCTTTCCTCTTTTTTTTGACTGTAGTGCTGTCCAGAGTTGTTTTATTTCACAACAGCTGGTTTTAAATGTGATTTCTATTAAGTGCATTAAAGATGTTTGATAATATATGCATAATACAATTTTTACCTGGTCTGGTCTAAATGGAAGTCCATAAAAGTCATATTCCTTGCTGATATGACAAAAAAAAAATAGAATGAGTAGTTTTCTTACAGTTCCTATAACACTAAAAAAAATACTGAGAATACGTATTTTGTGACTTGGTGTTCAATTTAATGTGTGATTTGCTTTTAACTATTTCCAGGCAGTTTCCTTAAAATGGCAATGTAAGGGGAGGTGTCCCTAATGAACAATGGCTTCATAGAACTATGCAAAGTGAATATAAGACAACATGAGTGTAACCATCTTGTTAAAAGAATCTTGCCCCAGTGTAATTGTTTTGTTTACTTCTGTGATTTCTCACTCTGTGCTTCTTACACTTAGGAAATGAGAAGAAGTGTAAGCAGATCCTTCAGAAGGCTGTGGAGTGCTCTGCTGTTCCTCTGGAATTGTTGGAAACTGCTCTGCAAAACTTACATTTGAAAAAAAGGCAGTTACTCTCAGATGAGGAGAAGGAGAACTTTGCAGGTAATTGCAGTTTCTTAAAATACTGGTTGCTTATGCATGTTGTGATTGTAGATTGGAAAAAATCACTAGTGTTTGTCCCTTCTAGATACAAACTCAGAATCTCTATTGCCCAATAAACAGATATTTGTCTGTATTATGAATCTTATTCTTTCAATGCTGGTTTCCCTCTTCAGTGCAGTGACTGCAGTTTGCAGGAGCTGTGCTATGGTCGATTCTGTGATTCTGCAGAGGGTGTTCCTCTGGCTGTCAGCAGGGATTTGCAGTTTGTAATAGAGACTGGCAGCTCTAAGTGTGAAGTAAGAGCTACTGTTGGTAGAGAAGAATTACAACTGAAATATACAGACTAAACTATATTATATAGGTTGTTTGGAGGTGTATCTTGTGGCAGACTGGGAAAGCTTTGACAGTCATTTCAGTGAAGTCAAATCTAGGAAAAATAATCAATTTCAACTTTATTTTGGACAAAACCCATATGTTTGTCAGTACAAAACTGAAGTGCTTGGCTGTATTGTAAATCCCAAGTGATCCTTTTTGATGGGTATATAATTTCAAAAAGGGAACAGTTATTTCTTGAAGCTTTCAAGAGATACATTTTTTGGAGTGGAATTGAGCAAAAAATATGGTTTGACTTCAGCTTTGGAGTGTGTGTAGTTAACTCTTTCAAGAGTGATGTCTAACACTTCCATATTTTTGCATTGTGTGAGGACAGGATTGATGTGAAATAGATTGGATTTAATTTCCTTAGGGATATGTCTTCAGGAGTGGTGTTTGAGATTTGCTTGGTGCCTATTGAATCAACCTTTGACTGAAGCATTACTGGGGGTGAACTCTTTTAATAGTATTCAGTTTTGGCATTCAATTCTAATGAACTCTATTTTCTGTCTTATTCTGTTTATCATTAATTGAATATAGACATCTTAAACGCCACTGCTGATGTACTGTGCCACAGGAGAATATCTTGAAGGATACCAATACCCTTCATGGATTGTATCATTTTTTGCTGACATTGAATTGCTGCTGCAGGGCTAAGGAAATACCTGTGAGAATGAATGGCAAAACTCTGCCTGCCATTTAGGAAGCAGTGAACTGTGGGGCAAGAGTAGGCTCATTTATTTTTTCATCTATATTGGTTTGTAATTAGGTATTTGAAAAATGCAAACTATTAATTTAGTTATTTAAAGATTAAAGTTTAAAAGGTAAATAACACCGGACTTGAAATATCTCAAACTCTGGGACGTAAAAGAGGTAAATCACTAAATTTGGCTTTAAGTGAATTTATATGGTCCTCTGGAGCAACAAAGGCTATTTTACTATATTGGCATTTAGGTATTTTTTGTATTACCATTTGAAGAGCTGCTTTTGAAAGTTTAATTTGAAAATATGAATGCTGTATATGTAAATGCATTTGTTCACAGCTTCAAAAGATTGTACAGAATGTTTTTGACAGTTACGTGCTGTTAGTGTTGTGATGCAAATATAAACCATGCATCAAGTCTAGAAACCTCTGGTCTAATTCCTTTTTTTCCTCTTTCATTCATACACAGCAGTCTAAAGTAGTTGACATACCAGGTGCAATCAAACATGTTCAGTTGGGAAAATGGAGTTTAGTATTTCAGAAATGCAGAGCCACTTCAGAATTGTTTTGGGTGGAAGAAAGCATTGGGTCATGAGGTCCAGCTGTGGTAAGGGGTATCATAAGAAGCAGACAGGCTGTCTTAGACTGTGAAGGAATGAAAGTATTGTAGATCACCAGCTGCCTGTGAGTCCAGTGGCCACCTTGTTGGTTTAAAAAAAAATCTTTGGTGAAAAAAGTGTGAGTTGCATTTGTGAGATGGTGATGGTCCTGGGTTGGTAATAAAGCACTGTACACTGAGGCACTTGTTTTATTTGAATGCGTGGTTGAGTCTGTTGGCATACGTAGTTCATAAAACGTTAAGTATTGGAAATAGCCAATACTGCACTGTTCATCTACCAGAAGTCTGACTTCTGGCTGAAAGTAGAAAAGGGATATGGGAGCGTTGAAAAGAAAAGTAAAATGGATGAGCTCATCCATTTTAATGAGCGAAAACAAATTTAAAAATGGAAAGTGCTATATAAAAGTCCTTAAATTGTGATTTATTGGACGGCTGTGGATAGCTGTGGATCTTGTTGGTTAAGCAGACAATTTCCTTTACTGGCAATTTCTTATACAAGGCCTATGTGATGTAACACATCATATTATATACTGTCTTAGTTAAAATCTTTGAATGGTTTGGGTTGGAAGGGACATTGAAGGGACATCATCTAGTTCCAACCCCCTGCTATGAGGCAAGAATACCTTCCACTAGACCAGGTTGCTCAAAGCTTTCAACCTGGCTTTGAACACTTCCTGTTGCCTTTGATTTTCTTTTTTTTTAAAATATGCTCTTTGGTGTCTTGTTGGAGATTTTTTCAGAAGTGGCTTAGAAGGCAGCTGTGAGGAGTAAAATTCTCACAGCCGGTTTCTGTAAACAGCAGAAGTTCTCAGGTTGTTTTTAATTACAAGTAAAAGTAACAAACACGAAGGCCTTGAGAACCTTGCATACCAGAGCTCTCAGGCAGCTTTCTCATAACAAGTAGATATTCTATCTTTGGCTGTTTTGGGAAAGCAAAAATAATTTTGAGAACCCAAATCTTAGTTTTGGAAACATAAGGAGGAGTTGGTTTGTTATCTCTGACCTATTGTGAGCTCGGGTTTGCAATATGCATGAACTTAATTAACACGGTTATAAAAAGTGACTGAGTGAATAAACGGAGTTGATGCTGAACAAGGAAGTTGGGTCTTCTCCCTCCATCTTCAATAGTATCTGTCTTAAAAAAATCTTGTAGCATTGAAGAGATCTTAATCAAAATAACCAGATACTAATTTACATTTTTGAAAAAGGGTTTATCAGAAAAATAGCTGAGTTCAAGTGATGTTTATCTGAAGGTGCTTAAAATAGCTTGTACTCAACATTGTTCCCTAAATGACGAATTAAACTGTGTTGTAATGTGAATGTGTGTTCGTTAAGGTGTTGATAAATTTTCATTTGTGTATTCTGAGTTCATGTGATTTCTTGGTCTCTAAGAAATGACCTTCCCTTCACCTGTAGACAAAAATAATGTGGAAGATAGTGTTGTTCTGAACTGTTTATTTGTGGGTTTGAGGTTCTATAATGACTTTTCAAATAACTTGAATTCTGGTTGTGTTTATGTCTGAAATATATACTTTCAAAGTTTATTAAGTTGACTTGACACTTAATTTTAAGACTAATGTACAACTTCATAAAACTACTGCTAAATATTCATTGATCAAGCAAGAGTCTCTTCTGGATGAAGATGGGGCTGGTGAATGAGCTTTTTGCTATTGCCTGCCTTGATACTCCCTGACATTGCACAGCTTATATGACCACTCTCAAATTTGCTATCAGTGAGATCAGCTGGTTCAATTTAACCCAATTAATTGCTTAGAATAACTTAGTTGAATTTGTCTGATATGATCTGAATGATTCTATTTTCCCTACAGTATCAAGTACACAGGAGTCTGGACTTCAGAATATAGGTGGAAATCACAGAAGCTTAAAAAAGAATGATTCTAGTGAAAATTCTTCAACTATTAACAGATCTTTATTTAGGTAATGTCTTAATTTCTTATTTAATGCCTTATAATATCATTTAAACCAAAAGTAAACACACACACTGCAGTGTTGTGTGGTTTGTGGGTTTTTTTTGTTTATTTTTTTCTTTTAGGGAAGAGAAGTCACAGGAGCTGGGTGCTCTAGTTAATTACCACAATCCATTGAGATCACTAAACAAATCTAACCAGGTAAAACATGTAACATTTTCCTTAAAATCTTAAACTCTTTATTTTGCTGTACACACCTGGTAATTTTGAATTTGTTCTAAGATTTGCCCATTTGGGAGGATTCCTATTACCCTGGTATCTGATGATGGTGATGACATGGAGGATTCAGATGTCCCACTCATGGCCAGTGTTACAGAGAGGTATGGTTATTGGGTTTACCTACAGCACCACAGACTTTAGTAGTCCTTTTCACTGATACTTTTATTGGGTAGTGGAAATGTCAGATGTCAATGTCAAATTTGACCTGAAGGACAGAGACAAATAGTCAGTATAGTTGCAATGGGTAGTGCAGTAACCTACTTCAAATCTTATGGAAATTCTTTGTATGAAAGCATGTGAAGATGAAGAGAAAGCGTGTTCTGGCTAATCAGTAAGCTCAAAAGAAATGGAAATTAAAGTGGAAATAAATTTTGTTCAAAATATTTAAGTTTTTGTAGTCCAGTTTTTTTAAAAAAAGGAGAAAATACAGTATTGTAACTCAAGATATTTTTAAATCCTCATTTTGCAGGACTTCTTTGTATTGCTTCTCACTTTGCTGAGTCAACCTGCTTTTCTGTTTATTTGAAACTTGTGGCCAAGTCTTCACACAACTACTTTTTATCATCTCTTTCACAAAAAAGACCATTGCCCCACTGTGTTGGCATGTGATGTAACTAAGAATGTTACTTCAACAGGCAAATGTCCAGCTCGAAACAAGCAGCCTTTGTTGCACCTTTTCCACCATCAGAACCGAAACCTTGTGGGCGTGATTCGTGCAGCCTGAGAGATTTGCAGGTAACTTAAATGTTTTTTAAGTACATGAAGGAACTCTAGCCATCCTATGATATTAGTAAAAAAGATAACAGCTTTTTCAATTCAAGAAAGAAATAATGTAGGATTTCTCTTTATGTAATCATTTGTGGATAGAAACATTCATTATGGCTTTTAAACTTGAAATTTGTTATGCGTAATAGGGCATTAAAAAAGAGCTTTCTCTGCTCCTATCAGATGTCCTGTTCAGTGGGAGTGGTGTTTGGAATATGATTTTTGAAGAGGAGATAAACAGATTTCAACTTGACTATAGGGCCTTTTTCAGCTGAAGTCATGAAGTTTACCATGGGAAGACCCTATTTAAGGAAGTCAGTTCAACTCAGTGCTCTATGGAGCCATGAATTCCAGCTTTTGATAGAGATTTTTTTCATCCAAAACCAAATGTCTTGCATTACTATGTCTTATATTTTCATGTCTCATGTCCCCATCTGCTAAAAGAAAATTCCAGAATAGAAAGTACTTAGGCCTTTATTATAGAAACTGGATTATGAAAATTCAGAATGTTGATGTATTTAAAAATAGCATCAGTAATAGTTGTCTATGTAACCTGCACAGTTCCCTGAGGCATGTTTGCTTTGCAGTGCACCTGCCACTTCATCACCTTAAGGAAATGGCTTTTGTGTACTACTCCTGAGTTTTCCTTTGATTCTTTTTTTAAGACGCTTTTTATGTTCTTTAGTCCTTAAAAGAAAAAACAGCTTTACAGATGTTGGATGAGGGCAGCTCAGAAACGGCTACCAATTCAACTGTAACTCTCAAAACCAAAGTGGATGCAAGTCTTGTGACAAAAAGAGCAGGTAACATAATTGTCATGTCTGAGTAGTTTGAAATAGAATGAGCGTTGAAAATGTGCTAATCTGTATTTTTTAAAAAATGCGTTGCTAAACAAAAGGTTTTCAAAAAGTGGAAATTACTGCATTATTAACATACCTTTGGGGAATAATTCTTCAAGTTCTTTTAAAAACAGTTTTGTTGTATTTCGGAAATACTTCACTTAGATATTGCATGGATTTTGACTGTTGTGTGAAGTCAGGTAAAAATAGGGATGGTATTAGATTACATTCTGTTGTCTTTCTGGAAAATGTTGTAACCAGCTTGGATTTATAGCAAGGATTTCAGGGCTAGTTAAATCTAGAAAGTTGCTATTATTTATTTACCAACTTCATGGAATATGGAATACATGTACTAACCTCCTATGGTTAGTTGCTAACAACTTCAGTGTTTCATCAGAAAGCTGGTTCCCTAAGTGGCGTTCTCCTCCTGCTGAAAAAATTAGGTGAAAATGTCTAATATTGCAAGAGTTAGATTTAGGGTTTTATAAGTACATATGTATTGTAGGAAAGAAACATTACAGTTGAAAAAATGTAATTTTTTTTGAACTTCACTGTCCCCTCAGCTCCTCAGTGAGCTTTTCCCACTGACTTGCATTGGGAACAGTTTGGTTTGAGGTCATGCTCGCCCTGTTTGTGCCTCATTCTTGTTTCCAGGTTAGATGTTGGTTGAGGTAGTTAGTCCTTCAGCAGCTGACTTGCACTGAGCTGCTCAGCATGGGATGTTGCTTTCTAGTAATTTGAAAAGAAAACTGTTCAGGCTTGTGAAGGAACACTCTTAAGCTGTGCTGTTTGCAGCTTGCACTGTCACATCCCACCATTTCACTCTTGTGCTACCTGTGCAAAAGGAACTAGGAGAAAGTGCCAAGTCCCTTTAGGCCTCTGGCTTCAGTCATTACACTTGGATTATAGGTTGCCTGTTGTTGCAGACAACAGACTTCTAATTTGGAGTATGGTAGTAAGCTTATCTCCACTGCTTTATAAACCTGCTCAAAACCCCGGGATGTTGTGGTATGATTTGTGAGCCTACTGTCATTGCCTGTGTTGGTGTAGGAAACAGTTGCATCTCTGTTACTGTTACAGTGTTATCCTAAGACTTTTTGAAGAAAGTTGCCATTTTACTACACTGAATTGAACATGCTGTTGAGGACTTCATTAATGTCTTTTAAGGCCTAATTCCAGTAAATCATCTGTGTTTTAGTCTGATCTAGAAAATGAGAAAATTATTGTAGTAACTTTTCAAGTGTTGAATATTGATTCATTTTGATTCAGTCTGGTTTTTGTTTGTTTTTTTTTTTTTTTTTCCACAGAGAGTAAAGTTCAGCATCTGGAGTTGAAGACCCCAGAGCCCAGGAGTCTGAAAAGTCAACAACAACAATCTAGTTTTGGTGAAAGCTATAGAAAGCAGTTGGAGCAAATTAAACTAAACTGTGTTACTGCCAGAAAAGCAATGCCAGCTCAAGAGGTGTCACAGAAAAGCTGCTATGAAGAGGTAAAGTAACAAAAATGTTACATGTGTGCTAGCAGCCTTCTCACGTTGAAGAAATTATTTCTGTGTTCTTAATTGTGGCTCCTTGTGTGATGTAATATCTTGCTTTGCTCTTTGTAGGGAAAACAAATGAACATTGAACAGTCTGGTCATCCTGTTTCAAGACGATCATTGCCATCAGATGCTGTTTCTAAGAAAAGTGACCCATTGCACGTTTATGGGACACCAAGCACCACATCTAGTGATTATATGGCCTGGTAAGCCTACTATAAGATGGTAGTTGATCTCTGGAAAGGTTTAAGCAGATTTTTACAGGGTTTGAATTTTTCTGTTTGATAGCAAATATTCCAAGTGCTTCTGTGAAGTGCCTGACTTTGAGATTCAGATTGCATTTAGGGACCTTTGCCTTTTTGGGCAGCTTTTCAGCATTTGAATATTTGCCATCAAATCAGTAAGTCCCTAGTAGAGTGTTTACCTTTTTCACCGATGCTGCTACATGACACTTTCTTTTGGATAAATTATGTGGCTGAGAGACTTTTTAGATTGATAACGATATATCAGTTTATTTCCCATGATGCAAGTGTCTGAGGTTTTTTAAAAGCACTTGGATAAATCCAGAAGCTTGCAGAATTAAGGACTTATGTTTGGAAACAATAGCATTTGTTTATCCATGTTACCCTAAATAAGGCATAAACTCCTATGCCTGTGTTGGCAAATCTTTCTAATTATATGATTACTTTTTGTTTTCATAAGTCTCTAGGATGAATCATATAGGTCAAGGTTGTATGCTGAGTAAGTACTGTTCCTGTTGGTAGGACCTCTGTCTCTACAGCTGCAGAATTCAGACTGTAGGTAGGGCATGAACCACATAATTTCATGAAGAAATGTGATAATAGTCCTTGAATAAATTCTCTTTACTTAGTTTGTACATGCTAAATATGCAGAATTGCTCAGTGTTTCTATTTCTCTATTTGGACTGGTTTTGTCCTTTTTTTTTTACTTCTGTGATTTTACTCTACCAAATAAATCCTAGTTATATACATTTTTTTCCAGTTCTGATCTTGGCATTAGTTTCTGTAAATACAATTGGGGAAAAATTTAGTATGTTTAGAAATATAACTAAAGAGATGGTAGACACATCAGGAGAACAAATAAAAAAACCATAGGATTTTTTACAATCTTTTGTTTTTTTAAATCAATGATCTTTCTGCTCATACACAGTGTAGCTAAAGCTGTCAAGGCAATAGTGAGAGTTTTTGAAGTTAACTGTCTTAATATGCTTACTCTAAAAAATAGGTAATCTAAAAAGTTTTTGAATAAATAACAGTAAGCTGGAGAGGAGTAACTGGCTCAAACTCTTAGTCAGTTCTTCTAGCTTTATAGTTCCTTCACTTTTCAGTTGCTGGGAAGTGCCAGCTATTGTCTGAAGATAGTGAGTTTGTGTTCTTCAAAGTATTTGCTAAGTATTGTTAAAGTTTCAGTGTATTTCTAAAAGGACTTCTAAATGAAGATGTTGAAGTGGTCTTAATGATAATTATTGAGTGAAGTGGAGGCTTGAGCTCTTGCTAGTCACTAGCATTTAACTTTCAAGAAACATTGAAGACTTCAACTCTGTTGTTAAAATAATCTTAGAAAATACAACTAATGCAGATACTATTTAATTTTTTGTTAGTTTCAGCACACCAGTTGTAAAGGACAAGTTTCTGCCAGGATGTCAACTTTCTACTCCCTACAGCCAGTTCCCATATTATTTACCACATACTCCAGCAACTCCATTTCAAAATCAAATTGGCTTGCAGGTAACAATTTTCTGTCATTTTAGTGCGTATTTTCATTGGGAACTAATTTGGGTAAAATACATGTGTGTATATATTTTTTTCATCTGAAGTTACTGTTCATCTTCCTGGAGGAGTAATGGAAAGTAGTCTAGTATTCCTAAAATAACTTTCTTCGTTTGTATGTCTCAATTTAGATGACCTAAGTCAGATGTTGAAAAATCAGTTCAATTTTGTCAAAATGCTAGAGCCTCTATGTCTAAGCCTTTTCTAAGCAATCTAAGCCTTTTCAGGTCTATCTTAATGACACAGAGAAGAACTAGAGCCGCTATTTGTGTTCTGCAGTGCTTTTACAGTATTACCCAGCACAGTACCATTAAAGAGAAGCAGTGTGTGTTGAAAATCATGAGTTTGAGAGAGGCAAAAGATTGCATTTCTCCTCCATTTTTTTTAGATTTCACAAATTTTGATACGTTTGTTGTGGCCTGACATAATGCAAAAATGGGTTACCTTAGATGTGTTGCATATTCAGGTGGGAACCTTCCCAGTTGTAGATAAAACTGGGGGATAGGTTTAAGTGTCCTACCACAGGATAAGTATTGATAAATTAATAAATCAAACTTGAGGCCTTTCTATGGCTTGGTGTAGCAGATATGAGCAGGCTGTTTCAACTTGACACTACTGCAGTCTTTTAGCTATTAGCTTCAAAAAGAATGGTAGATGGTTTCAGTACAGCTCTTAAGTTTCATGCTGAGACTGAAAGTCTCTTGGATAATGTAGTTTCTGACATTATATGTAAAGAGGGAGGTGTCTCTAATGATCTGGAAAGCCTTATTAAAGAAGATCCTTTCCTTGATTTCCAGTGTGAGGAACACTGGCACCTTTTACATGAGTGCAGTGATGTTACATGCCAAATGCTGATCAGTGTATGGGGATCTAGCTTTCATTTGGAGTTTCTTTACTGCTTCTAAACAACTTTATCATCTTCAGGAAAAGCAAGACCACTTAAAGCATTTTAATGTAATAAAAAGTAGAGCTCTCAAGTTCTGTTGCATGTACCAATATTTATTTCTTAACCCTTTTTATGTGTGCACAGGTTCCAGCTTCTGTACCTTCGCATGAATGCCTTGTCATCAATGGAAGAGTTTATACAGTGTTAAAGCAAATAGGTAGTGGAGGCTCAAGTAAGGTAAGGTGCTCCTTTATCCTTTTAGGCAGTCACTCATTTACACAGTACTACAATCTATTATAAATGTTGAAATCACCTAATGAGTGCCTAGTGTTAACATGGACACAATATTTGAACCAGGGAATCTAGAACTTTGCTGGTGTGCCATGCTTAGACTTTTTGGTCTTGAAGATAATTTCTGTGGTAAGTAAGCATTAAAATTCCTGGTAGAATCAGCTGTTCTGTTGTAAGAGATGTGCTGCATTGTGTACATCCTAATGTGAGAGGCTGTTTAGAGCAGTGTGATTACACTGTTGGGAAATGGGTGACTTGTCAGGTTGATTGAGAGCCTGAGGGAGACAGACCATCTCTTAACTGCTTCTGTAACTTGTGTGAGGAGTAGAGTTGTAGCTATGTGTGAAGTGGTGAGTGAGATGCTTTTTACATGGAAATTTGGGGTCATGGGAGCTTGGGAAACAATATTGGCAAAACCTCTTGGGCTTGTTAGAGTTCTTTAGTTTCTTAACAGCATAAGCAGTTTAGCTGCATGTTGTGGGAGACTATGTCAAAGGCCTTACAGAAGTCCAGATAGATGACATCTCTATCTCTTCATTTGTCCACTGATTTAGTCCCTCCCTCACAGAAGGTCACTGGGTTGATCAGACAGTCTTGCATGTGGTGAAGCAGTGATGGCTCTTTCAAATCACCTTCCTGTTTTCCATGTGTTTTAGCAGAGCTTCTAGGAGGATGTGTCCTAATGATGCTTAATTTAACTAATTACTTAGAGGTCTTTCCCTTTGTGAATCCATGTTGACTGTGTGATCGTTGCATTTCAGTTGTACCCAGTAGGATATTCTCTGTAATTTTTGCAGCAGCTGAGGTTAGGCTAACAAGTTTGTAGTTTCCTGGGTCTGCCCTCTCATCCTTCTTGTCAGTTGGACTAATATTAGCCAGCTTGCAGTCAGCAGGGAACTCCAGAAAGAGATCTCTGTTTCCAGTGTGTGGTTGTAGAATGAGGTAGGATGGCAGGGACTTCTGTGTGTCACTCTCATAGTCTGCTTAAAACAAGGCTCAAATAAAGCAGGGTATGCATGAGGTTTTGTGTTTAAATATTGCCAAGGATGGAGATTTCATAGCCTATCTGGACAAGCAGTTTTCCTGTTGGTCTATGTGACAGTGAAAAAATCAAAACATCCAATTGTGATTTTCCTTGTTGTTAGCTATGTCTGCTGCATCTCATACTTTGATGGTTCAAGAGGAGTCTGTCATATCTTCCCTTTAAATAGCTGAAGACTGCATGTAGGGTTTCCTGCAGCCTTCTCATCTTAAGACTAAATGAGACTTTGTGCTCTCAACCTTTTCTAATGTGCCATATGATCTAGCCTCCAAATGATCATGGTGTGACAAAGTGAATGTGTGAGGGCAGATCAAACCTTTATCTCTGAGAGTGTTATTTCATAATCTTTATCTTAGGAACACTGCAGACTCATGATGACACCTGGTGAAATACAATGTGGCACCAAGATAGCTTCTGATAGAGGGTTGTTTCTGTTGTAACTGGTGTCTTTGATTTTTTTCATGCTGACTTGTATGAATTTCTTGATATTGTTTCTTCCTTTTGAAGAGGTAGTCTTCTTTGGTATTCTGGCTGAGTTGAGATGAAGGATCGTGGTACCTTGGAATTAGGGATGAATGAAGTTATTAACTGACACTGTTTTGTAGGTGTTTCAAGTACTGAATGACAAGAAGCAGCTGTATGCTGTCAAATATGTGAACCTAGAGGAAGCTGATCAACAGACTGTTGAGAGCTATAAGAATGAAATTGCTCATTTGAGTAAACTGCAGCAACATAGTGATAAGATCATCCGCCTTTATGGCTAGTGAGTAAACACTAACCTTATCTAATCAGTGTTTCACTGTAAAAAGATATTTCCTTCACTTTTAACACACATGTTTTATTTTTAGTGAAATTACTGATCAACATATCTACATGGTAATGGAGTGTGGAAATATTGATCTCAATAGCTGGCTTAAAAAGAAAAAAAAGATGGATCCACTGGAACGAAAGAGCTATTGGAAAAATATGCTGGAAGCTGTTCACACAATCCATGAATATGGTATTCTTAAATAATTCTAGGTATTTGTGTAGGATATATGGCAGATAATGTCTCTTGTTTTAATTTTGGAGATGGTATTGTTTTTAATGTTAGTGTAATCTTAGTGATCTACAAAGATGAATATTTACTGTATTTAAAAAAAAAAAAGCAGTGATGCAAAAAACAAAGTTAAATCTTGATCCAGAGACAGGCTTGGTTAACTCAAGAAGGATCTCACAAATATACTGTCTATGTAATGCTATCTGATTTCTTTCAACAGCCAGAAAATATTTTCTGTTTTAGACTACCTCGTATACTCCCGCTTGTTCTGTTAGACTCAAATTTTAGCCACTCAGTCTCTCCATACTTGGCTTTGACATTGACAGCTCTGCCATCTTTACTTTGACAAAGTGTTTCAGCTTTCTCCTAGACTTCTTCAGGCCTTCCACTCCTCTTTACCTATATAATTGTGTATGCATCTATAGCATCTATATTCTGTTTGTCTGTATAGTATAAAGGAGAGGCAGACTTGGATCTTTTCCTATATAATAATGAAGTGAAGAGTAGTACATGTAGCAGAAAGCATCATCTATTTTAGGACTAGAACATCCAAAAATATAGCAAACAGCAAAACCTACTGAAATTCAACGGGCAGACATATATGTGATGTTTTGAAAAACACATAGATTTTTGTAAAATATCAAGATAGATTCGTTGATTATGTAGGTAGTAACCAAAATTCATGTTAAATTGTGCAAGTAGAGTTTGTGAGAAGTCAGTTGTGTATATTCCTTAGTGAATGGTACCTTTTATCAGACTAAGCAATGTAATTTTATTTTAACTACCTGCTTAGCTAATTAAAGAGAGAGCAACAAGCATGGACAGGCCACTGAACTGCTCCAGAGCAGCAATCCAGTGTGGCCATGTGCCCATAGAGCTGCAGTGTCTGTCCCAAACTGAGACAAACTCTGCAACTCAAATTGCTTGGAGCTGTTCTGGGGTACCTGCAGGTTTGACTAAGTAGTAATTTTAACTGTAAATTCATGCAAGTTAAGAACTCTTTAGGAAAAAATGGAAACACTTTGAAGAACACTGCAGAGACTCAAAGCCAATCTGCACCTTCTCTCTGTGCAAGATTTATGGGAATTGAGTAATGCTAAACCTTATGGTAGTAATTTGGATTTACTTTAGACTCTTTTTTACAGGCATTATTCACAGTGATCTGAAACCAGCGAACTTTCTGATAGTTGATGGAATGTTAAAACTAATTGACTTTGGCATTGCAAACCAAATGCAGCCAGATGTGACAAGTATCATTAAAGATTCTCAGGTGAAATACTTCTGGAAAATTGATATCCGTTTTTCTGTGAAATGCAATAGTACCTGCTGATAACTTTGATTGTAATAACCTCAACTACTATTGAAATCTTATGCTGAATGGTTTTATATGTGTACATGAATATTCGTGTATATTGTTTTTTACATGTTTTAATGAAGAAAATAATAATGGCATTTGACCTTAATAGAAACAAACTTTTAAGATGCTTTTCAGTGTTTTGGGACAGAAATCTAAGTTTTATTAAGTTAATGAAATTTAATGCATGCTTTACTTAAAATATTTTTTCATTTTTATGGTTAGGCTGGCACAATGAATTATATGCCACCTGAAGCAATAGAAGATAGGTCTTCCTATGGAGAAAATGGCAAACCTCGTTCTAAGGTAGTATGATCTTTATCCTCCTATTCCCTTCATGTTAAGGAGGAAGGAATTCAATCAGATCTTCAGATTTTTTCAAAATCTTTCACTGAAACTTGAATACAAGAGAATTTATTGTGCTGTGATGGTGTGCAGAGTTGTAAGGTTAAGCTCAATCTCCCTACCTAAAAGCATTTGGCAGATAGTGTTTAGAAAAATGGAAGCACTCAATTACTGCATAAAATTGAAAGTAAAACAGAGGCACAGGCATGGACATTTTAGGGCCACAAAATGAGTTCAGCGTATCCTATTAATTTTTCTCTGCTACAGAGTATTGTGTGTTGTAGAAAATTTTATAACCTCACCAGGGCAATGGAATGTGAATGATGAAAAAAAGTACTGAAGGGAAAGCATTTTTGACGTTGGCAGTCAAAATTCAACTGAGGGTTACATGGTTTGGTGCAAAAGTATTTAAAATCCATATGTACTCGCATGTACATGAAGATTAACTTAACAGTTGAATGGAAGTATTATTATGTAATGAAATAAAATCTTGGCTTCCTAAATAGAGAATCAAATATTTCAAAAGTGGATTTTTTTAAGGATGGTAATTTTTTTACCTTTTGTACTTCTAAATTAAAACTGCATGCCAAGTGCAGATTTTTCAGCTCATCTAAGCAGAAATCTAACCACTGTGCTGGGAGTCAGGTTCTCTGTATGCATCTTTCTCCACTTCCCGCTCTCCCCCACTCTGTGCTTCTCTTGAAATAATTCAGCTTCAAAAGGACAAGCGTGAAATTGTCCTGCAATGACCAGCCTGAGTGTCATAGTTGAAATGTGGATCTGAATCCTTTAAACCCAGGGGAATTGAATTGTGGCTTTCCACTTAGGAGACATAGCAGTGATCTCTCACCATTTCCTGGATTTAAATAATTTAGTATGCTTTTAGTTGTGTTTATTTTTAAATCTGAAATTAGAATCCTGCAGTTTGACTTGTTAAGGACTAACTTTATTTTTAAGTTCTTCAAGTAAGTTGATTTTCAAAAATAGTTTAGAACAATAGTTTTCTTATGGAATATCAGTGAAGGAAGCCACATTACTGTCTTAGTAGATAATGGCGTGCTGTCTTGGTGATTTTGTGTAATAGTAACAAAGATCTCTTACACAATGAAAACTGTACAAATACGTGATAAATTGACTGAAGGGTCAGTTTCTTAAGTAGAGAATAATTTTTTTTTTTAATTTTTAACATTAGATAAGTCCCAAAAGCGATGTGTGGTCACTGGGCTGCATTTTGTACTGTATGACATATGGAAGGACTCCGTTTCAGCATATAACAAATCACATCAATAAAATGCATGCTATTGTTGATCCAAGCTACGAAATAGGGTTCCCAGATATTGCTGAGAAGGATCTTCAAGATGTGCTGAAGGTAACTGTTCCTTTTGTTTTAAGTAATGGTAATTTCTTTATTTAAAGCATATTTTATAAAACTGAATGAGTTGTGCTTGAAAGACTTTTTCGACAGAGAGATGCTCACTGCTACTTGTAGTAACAGGTCTTATTCTAAAAGAAGAACTAAACTATAGCTACTCATGTAGCTTCCATATTGAAGTCTCTTTTCAGCTCAATACCAGCTACGTAAGTCTTTGGGTTCAACAACCAAAGTAAATACTGTTAATTCCTAGGACAATTCATAATTTATAGGCAAAACATTCTTCCTCTTTCTTCATTTGCAGCGCTGTTTAATAAGAAATCCTAAAGAGAGAATTTCTGTTTCGGAGTTGCTGGTACATCCCTATGTTCAAATTCAAAGTCATTGTCCAACAGGTACATTTATTTTAAAATACATTTTATTAAATAGTATTTTTAACTATGCATTAGAAACCATTTCACTCTTAGAGATACTATGAGCTTGTTGGTGTGACTCAGTTTTGTTTGGTGCCTACATCTGCTTCAGAAAAGACTTCAGTATTTTAATTCTTAAACCTCTTGCAAACTGTTCTGGCAGTTTTTGTGCTGATAATGTATATAATTTCACCATAAGTATAAATTACCTGTAGGTGTTCCAAATGCAAAAGGAACAACAGAGGAAATGAAACGTATCCTTGGCCAGCTTGTTGGCTTGAATTCTCCCAATTCTATTTCTAGAGCTGCGAGGGTAAGTAAATTGTCTTTTCTATTTTGTGTAGTAGTACATGCTCATGCAGACCAAGGTTAGAATGCTTAGTAGTGAAAGATGAAACAATACATTTATGAAATCTTCAGCCATAGCTGGGAAAACATTGCATATCTTAGTGCTTTTATTTGCAAGGATGCAGAATGTCTCTACATTATTCTGAACTGGAATGGTTAAAAGTGATGCCAGTAATCCTTAGTCTTTGTTTTGTCTTTCCTTTCCACCTCCTGGTAGATCTGCTTTGCTTTTAAGCAGCCCCTCTGCGGGGGTCTGCTAATTTAAGAACCCTCACTATGGAAAAATTATCTCAATTGATCTGTTAAGTGTGCACACTTTTGGAGTGCAACTGTTCCTGCTTCCAGGAAGTTGCTGAGCTGTTAATGCCAGTGCTATGTGTAAATTAGTTCCTCTGTGTTGAAGTACTGCAGCCTCTCTGTTTATTGCCTGAAGGAAGCTGGGTAAATCTCAACTCTGTTCTTTCTATGTGTGTCTCAGAAGTGATGGTGTAAAGTATACATAAGACCTAGAGAATGCAAAGCTGCTTTTATGGGGAGGAAAGCAAATTCAATGTATATTAAATCTAAAGGAGTTCATGCTTACACTTCTAGTTGCACTTGATCTGTTTTGAACAAGTAGTTTATTCTTCTAACAAAATGGTGATTTGGCTGTTTGTGGGCATCTGAGTATCTCATGTAAACCTTGCATGCCCCCAGTACACAAATAACTCCTTCCATGCTGAGGTTTCCATAGTGAAGACATTTCATAGAGTAAACTTGATTTTTAGATCTCTCCAGCTCATTTGTGCTCTCCTGACTTGTGAAACTCTATAACTTTGCCCCCACTGCAAAGTCAGCATATGTTATCCCCTGGGCACTGCACTGCATTACAGCTGGTACAACTAAGCTGTCCTAAGTGTTCTATTTTTTGATTTGACAGAGCAATTTTAGTATGGAATATTTCAGTACGTGATGATTTATTTCAAGTGTAATGTTTGTTATATAGTTTGAATCCATGTGCAGTACAACTGTGTTCACCTGAATACCCTGTGTGTTTAACTTTCAGACTTTATATGAACAGTGCAGCAGTGGTAAAACTCTTGATGTATCAGCATTTGCAAAACCTGGGAGTCAAAAAACATGGACAACAAAATGATGTGCTTCTGTTCAGGACACAACAGATGTCTGGTCTGTTCAAAAAGTATTTTGTGCTGCTAGCTTTTAAAAGGACACTCAGCATAAAGTTTGCATTTTTATATGTTCATTGTGTTCTTTTGATAATGAGTTCAGGTCATTAAAAAGAGCTTAATTGAATGCTTTTTACTGTGGGCTCTTTCACTCCTTGCATGCTGCTTGGGTTGAGCAACAACAATGGCTACTTGGTGATTATGGTCTGTGTCACTTACAAAGCACTACAGTGTCTGGAGTACACAAACTTGTATGAGAATCTTTTAAGAGGAGATCTTATGAGAAGCTAATATAAAAAGTTCCCCAAAAATGCCAACTGATGTACATGAAAAACATGGAATACCTTTGCTAACAAATACCTTGCTAACAAATACCTTGGAAAGGAGCATTCTGTATAAACCACCAGTTACAATATTGGTAGATGCATGTAAATGTCACCCAGTTTTTGAGCTGTTCCTGTGGTTAAGTGTTATGATGGAATCATCAGTACTGTGTTGAACTTGTATGAATAAAATGGCTCTTGTAATAGCATTTGTAATACAAGTTTAGTCTGCTTTTCAAATTTCAAAATAGAAATTCCTTCAGGTTTCACAATGCTAATAAATTACTAATTTGGGTTTTTAAAAGCATTGATACTAAGCATTCTCTAAAGTGCACTGAATGTAGGAGAAGTGGATTTTACATGATTGTTATTGGATTGGTTAGGTTTTAACTGAATTACATTTCTGGTGTGAGTGTATGTTCATGCCTACCCTCCTTTGTTTTGGATTAGCTGTGATTCTCCACATTACGCAGGGAGAGTGATCAGAGTGGGAATTATTCCTGACAAGCAGGGGCAGAGAGTGTGTGCTGCACTGCAGTGTTGGAGCACACAAAGAACAGGAGATCTCCTTCCTAAGAGTAAACCTGGAATGATAAACTTAAGGTGTTGGTCTCATTGTCATTATGTGAAACAGGGTGTGGAATCTCAGTCCTCTGTCGGGATGGGGGTAGTTGTCTCATATTTCTAGTGAAAAAGGCTTGTTTCCTGTAGAGATCTTGTTTTTGCTCATTTTTTTTAAAGACTTGGTGCTGCTGCAGAAGTTCAGAGGTATTTCAGGCATAAGGAGTACCTTATGCCTGTGCTAATTGTACTCCTCCTTTTGTTTATAGTTAGTTATATAGATATTAAAATTTTCAAAGTTGAAGCCAGTGAAGAAAAAACTTTATTGTTCTGCACGTTTCATATTCTAAACAATTTGAGAGACTGCTAAGGTATGGGAACTGAAACGCTTTGGCTTTCTCTGGAAGGAGGGAAGAAGTATCAGCCTCTTCAGAGAAAAACCTGTGAAGAAAATCTTTACTCAGCAGAATTGTCTTTTCATAAAGTTAAAAGTTTCCCAAGTCCTTGTCTAGATTACAGCGCTTGAAAAAATTATTTGTAATTATTCTAATGTTACAATTGTTTAACTTTTGCTGTTTTGCTTTCCTAGTTTGTGTTGAATGTTGAGAAGCAGTGCTACATTACTGCACAGCAGTGCTACACTAGCTACAGCTATTTTTCTTTTGTACTGTATGATTTATCAAACCTTTCTCTTATTCCATGACTGTTGAAGATCCCACAGGAAATATAACTGGCATGAGAGGGAGCTTATGAAAGAGCCCTGGGGCTGATAAGAGGCAGTGGGTTGTTATCAGTCATCCCTTTAAAAATAATTTTTTTTCCATTGCAGAGGGGCAGTTGATTTATATTCCTTCCCCACCTCAATGACATGCTGCAGGATATCTGTCTACCTTGGTTGCTGCCACTTACGAGTCTTCAATCTATTCCAGGCTTTTTTCTGCCTTATAGACAACTATCTCCCTTCTCAGGTTCTTCTGGAGTCTTAAAAGCATACGTGAATTACAGAAATGTGTGATTAGCTTTAAAGGACAAAAAATGACAATCTTAAATGTCGGGTAACAGGTAACTGCTAGAAGCTTTTTCAAGGTTACAAAATGTCCATCCTGTGTTACTGTCACCATCAAGGCTGCATTTCAGGATATTGTATATAATGAAGAGATAAGATGGCTGGTAAAGCAGAGTATGTCTCTGTAAAAAGAGAAATCTACAGTATAATACTGTATCAGCTAATAATGAGATTCCACAGCTATGTGAAGGGTACAAAGGTAAATGAGAACACTAAGTTCCCTGTTGTAATTCTTCTTGGAAAAAATGGGTTTGGGAACTTACAGCCTGTAAATCTAAAACTGTACTCCAAAAGCTCTGCTCAGCAGCTAGCACTACAAAAGAAACCTAACTGCAGAAGGGTGACTTCCCTGTTCATTTGTGAATGGGTATAGCATGACTCAGTCTCCAGATTCCTCAGGAGGGTAAGTGGAGGGACAGGGACTCCCATCACTCCTCTGTGGTGATGGAAGCTGAGGGAATGGCAGGAAGCTGTGCCAGGGGAGGTTTAGGTTGAATATCAGAAAAATATCTTCACCCAGAGGGTGGTGGAGCACTGGAACAGGCTCACCAGGGAAGTGGTCGTAGCACCAAGCCTGACAGAGTTCAAGAAGTGTTTGGACAATGCTCTCAGGCACCTGGTGTGACTCTTGGGGTGTTCTGTGTAGGGCCAGGAGCTGGACTTGATGTTCCTTGTAGGTCCCTTATACCTCAGGACATTTTTTGATTCCATGATTCTATGACTTTGCCTGAACTCTGCTCTGTAAGGTTAGTTGGAATTCAAACACTAAATAAAGTTTAAGTTTTGAAGGCTCTGCTCATGCAGTCATTCTTCTTGTGACAATACCTAGAATTGAGTCCTTGACAAGATCAAGAAAAGGAGGCTGTTTGCTTGCATATACCTCTGCTCTAAGGACACTTGACCAAGGAGCAGGAAAAATTATTCACAAATCCATCACCACAAGGCTGGTGGAGTCAAACTCCTCCTTCTCATCTAGCCTTGTGGAAGACACTCTTAAGGTGCTACTGCTGTACATATAGCTGTGCAGGAGGGAAATGGTACAGTCCCTAACAGCAGAGTACAGAGCAGAGGGTGTGAGTTAGTCTGAAGGTAAGTTGTCAAATTGTCACTATTTTGGTCCCTCCTGTGGATTTCTGTTCTTCCTTTAAGTACTTAATAATGGTTGCATGCTCAACAGTTTTAACTAATTCTGGGAGTGGTGGTAAGTATCATGTTAAAAATTCAACAGTTGAACAAACTTGAGTTCTAGCCCTGGTGTGAAGTCTAGCTTGCTCCCTGAACTCCTCAGCAAGGATCTCTGGCTAATCCTTGCAGGTGCCAGTTATGACAACTCCTTGCTTCTCTCTTCCAGTTGTTTACACTCTTATTGCCTTGCTGCTCACACAAAACAGAGTTCTCAGCGGCAACAAATAAAACAAATACCACTTTTTATTTTAACACTTTTATTGCTAAGGCATGTCCTGTTTCAGCTAAGGGTAAACTGCTAATATGAGAGTATTCCCTTCCTGCTTGATTTGTATATCTCTTCCCAACTTGGTTATCTGTCCCACCTGCCTGGAGTACAAGGCTTGTCAGTGTGCCCTTGTTTGCTTACTGCTTCACATAAAGTAATTAGCAGATAAATCTTGTGAGATAAAGGCTGTAAAGAATGGAGCAGGCACTGCAGTGTGATTTACTTGTAGCATGTAGAGGTGTACACCTGTGTGGACACAGAAGAAATCTTTATACAGCCTGTCCATACACTTTCATGGGAGTTGCTGAAATGAAACCTGAGATAAAAATCTGACTCCTCACCTCAATTCCTTCTCTTGGCAGGTAGACTATTCACAGCTAAACAATGATGCAATTTGAAGATTCTGGCTCTAATCAGATGAATTGCCAAAATCCAGGCAGATTTTGCAATGAAAGATATGACTAATTTGACGTGGAATAGTGGTACCACTGTTCTGTACCCTGAAAAAACATAAGGAATAGGTCAGGTTTAAAAAATATCTGTCTATTGATCTTAACCCTTGTATATTCTAAGGCTCTCTGGCTTGTCTCTGTACCCACTTAATGTGTATGTTATGTGGTAAGTGAAGGCATGCTTTGAATTCCTCTTTGTAACATGCTCTGTGTCTCTTGCTTTTCCCCTATTTTTTGTCACTGTTATTTGTATTTTTAATTGGCTTTTAAATAGCTGTGTTTAAGGAAATAAGAATTGGATTTGCACTTGCTTCCTTTGTAGTCTTGAATAGACAATGTCTTGGACATCTCAAATGATCCTGTTAGCCTAGCACTGTGAAGTCATGGATAAAATATTTCTGTGAGTCTTAGCTCTTTACATTCCATGTCTTGTTTGCTTTGAGTTTGTCAGAAAGCTGTTCAGTACCATGGGTCTGTACGGTGCTGCTTGTGTTCAGTGACTCACTGGGCCATAAAACTCTTCACTGCTATTGCAGAGTGGCATTGTACTTTGAAATACTCTTATCAGACATAAAATGTGTTTGGATGTTCATGCAGTGGAACACATAGTTCTGTGCAGCAGAAGGCAGTGAAGTCCCCTCCACAGTGGTGGGGAGATGCTGGGCTCTGCAGCAGCTGCTGTGTGCTGCAGGGACTCCTGAGCCATCCAGCAGGAAGCACTCAGCAACACTGCAGGAAGGTACCTCAGTAATGAGAAGTTCTGAGTCTTCAGGAGGTCTTGGGTACCTGAATGAAAGATGAGTGTCTGCCTAAATCTCTTTGTCTGATCTTTGGACTTAGCAGATGTCCAGCACTGCAAAGGTAAAGACGCTTCCTACTGTGGTGATGGATGCTGAGCTATGCAAATACGAACACAGCATTGAGTTTTGGGACAGCAGATGAAGCTTCAAAGAAACCCGGGCTTTTGGCTTGGGGTTTGCCATGGGTTAGAGAATGCTCCTGTTGCTCTAGGTTCTCATCTGGAAAGAAAAGCCAACTCAGGTGCATCAATGTTCAGAGCTGAGAAAGTTAGAAATTCTCATGTCAAGCTGTGCTCTGTAAGGTATTAGTCCAATGATCTACTTGAAATTGATGTGCCAGTAGCAGCCATTTAGGGCAGTTGATAAAGCACTCCAGACCCAGGTGGCTTTGACTGCTGGAGTCTAAAGGAGTTTGTAAGAGCTGTGTGAGGTGTTGTCCTGTGTGATTTTTAAATTAGCCTTAGGAACACAG